TGTACTGCCCGGTTCGCAAGAGAGGAGTGTCCCCCAGGCTGTGCAGTCACTGGCAAGGGCCGGCAGAGGTCGTGGTGCAGCTAACAGAAGTGCTGTACCAGATCCGCATGCCGGGCCCAGGGCGCATGGTGGTGTTGCACCAGGACAGACTCTCACCATACCGCCCACCCACTCCAGCAGCCGCTGCGGCAGGGGATGCTGGTGGCACCCCATGTTCTGATCCGAGTGACTCTTCCCCTGCTGGTCAAGATCGGCCTGTTCGGTGAAAGAAGACACCTGGACATTTGCGGGACTTTGTGTTGGGTAATGGAGTTGTCGGAGACGACTGACCCTTTAGGTGGGGGCTATGTAGCAGGTCAGGTTTGGGGTTTGACAGCTATGTTCTGTTGTTATGGTTATGTTGCCATGGTTACAGGTGACGCTCTCTCTCTGCGACTGTGTGTTTCTGGGTGGAGAGAGCGCCTTCTTTTTGTTGTTGTTGTGTTTCTGTTAAATGCTAATAAATGGCTGTGCTCCCTGGCTAACTCGCGGGAAGCAAGACCAAACGACACCTCTGTCTCCTCCTTGTCTGAGCTCGCCACAATATTTTTATATTTCTAATCAACAGAGTGCCTCAGGAATTTTTCTGCTTTTATGTGATCCAAGCTCCCAAAACCAGAGCTGGTGTGTCAAGTGATCAACAAGTGACTTTTGTTTTCATTGCCAGATCATTTACAAACATTTTTATTACCATGACAATGACAACAAGTAACTATACGTAATAAGAATTCTAAACATGTGAAGGTCGACGTGAAATTACAGCTTGTGGTTTTGACATTTTGGTTTATACTATCAAAATGATTTGATTGCTTTAAAAAGTGTTTGCTAGTACGGCCCAATTTTAGGCCTTTATCTTTAAAGAGAACCATCCTAGCTGTTTTTCTTCTGATTTTAGCCTTTGTGCTAAGCTAGGCTAACCAGCCTCCCATCTAACGCTCAGAAAAAAAAGCAAATTAGTGTATTTACAAAAATGGTTCTGAAACCTTTGTTTTACAAATAGATTGATCATTGTCGTTGAATATAATGTAAAGCCATAATATCACTTTTGTATTCCTACCCTTCAGTGTCATTTGAAAAATGCTGGTCCCCCCCCTCTAAACCTCCTTCACTGGTCAGGATGATGGGGGTGAAGTGTGTGGCGGTGGAAGTGAAGGCCTCTGGGAGCTGGACTTCCTGATTGACTGGATAGCTGTGGGGAACAGGGCCAGGCACAGGAGCCAGTCGGCTCTCAGTGGCCATGGGGACAAAGCCTACACACAGTTACCACAGTGCCATTTACAATATCAGTGATATTGTCTCGTGCAATGTACAAAATACCATCAGCTTTAATTCTGATTCAAATTAATGAGACCAAATACATTTTTATTGGTTTGTTTCACAGGGGGCTTCCTAATATTTCATACATTTAGGATATGTAAAATATTGTACATTTTAAAGTAAAATGTATTGCACGAGGGTCATCCCTACTTAAGTAAAGCTGCCCTACCACTGTTGTTTTCAGCAGACTCTTCACATGAATTTTGGCATGTTTCAGTGGTCATCAAATCTTCTGCATCTGAGAATTTTAAGGTTGGCTGAAAAGAAAATACAATATGTTCATGACAACCAGAACTGACTATTCAGTGACACAAAACACAACCGACACTGACCACAAGAAGCTGACACTGACACTTTACTAATACACAGGTACAATAGCATTAATATATCTGTGGTGAAAAAAGGTTTACCGGGTGAACTCTGCTGACGAGGTTGTTCCAGACAGTCTCAGCATTTGTCCCCTGGCGTGATAAGTAGTCACAACAGCTCTGGAACAGATCCACATGAGAGTAAGTGTGATAGCAATACAGGGCACTTCATGCACAGATATGGATAATGTCAGAACTAATTCTCTCCTGAAATAGCTCAAGGGTTAAAAAAAAAAAACACGCAGCAACCCTTTTAAAAGGATTGACGGGGTAACAGTAACAGTAAATTATGGCATTTGTCACAGAGTTCTTTGTTGACATAATGACAAGGGAAAAAAGAGATTACTCTAAGCAAAGATGCTTCTCTTTGAAGTTGTGATATCTGCACAGTGATAAACAAAGTCAAAAGGGGCTTTATTTATAGAAAACTTTGCAAACAAGAAAGTGTAATGCAAAGTGCATTTTATAATAAATTATTTTAAAAAAGTGTCATTAGAATACACAAATCAGTGATAGAATATAAAGTCTATGATGAATTAAAGTATTAAAAAAATGGGCAGGGATTTTTTTTTAGTGTGAAAGCCTAAATAATTATTGCACCATATATGGCTTTGATGCTCATGTTAGCATATCTTTGTATTTATTCGGAAGGGACACTCCACATTGATTAACACCAGCACTTAAATTCATCATGTACATTTTTAGCAAGCAATGTTTACCATGTTCATGTCATAGTTTAGTATTCTAACATAAGTTAGAAATAAATGTATGATAAATGATAGGTACATTTTTGCTTGTATTTGCTTTGTATTTGGTGCTTGAATAACTCTTTTAGCATTTTACATTAACATGTCATTAGTACTAAAAAGAGAGCTGAGTGTAAAAGCAAAGCTCTCAATTTACTGGTCGATCCACACCCCTACCCTCACCTATGATCATGAGCTGTGGGTAGTGACCGAAAGAACGAGATCGCGGATACAAGCGGTGGAAATGGAAAGCAGGGCTGAACTTCTTGACCCTTTTTTGTTTTTTATTTTCATTACTGACACTTGATTGTCCAATCAAATGTCAGATCTCTTACTGCAACCAGCCTTTCACTATAGATAGAACATGGCAGCACGGCTCAAAGTTTTTGCTGAAATTAGGTCAAGCAACAGGACAATGATGCCAGGAAAATCTAGAGCAGAATAGCCGTAAAAGAAAATAACAAGGTGTTGCAATGGTGCAGTCAAAGTTGAGAACTCAACCTGATTGAAATGCTGTGGTGAATGAATGGCTTCAAACCTCAATAAAATCAACCCCTCTATAAAATAAAGCAGAAAGTGGGCCAAAATTCCTCCACAATGACATGAGAGTGTCATAAAGTCTTTTATGAAACAAAGACTCCAGGTTCTGATAAAGTTAGTTCTACAAGCTTTTGAATCATTTGGTTTGGTAGTTTTTCACATACTGCTTCTGCAATTTATCTGTTTTATTTTACTAACTTCAAGTCCTGATAAGGATCAGATCTTTTTTATTATGTCCTCATAAATAAAACATTAAAATTTAAAGATGGGATACATTGGGGTTTGTTTTTTTTTTTACCATGACTTTATATCTGACCATAAAACTCAAAACCCGACAAACCTGTTTAGCATGTTAACATATGCTAATTAGTACTGAAGCCACAGTTGCATAGTCTGACATTTTTTATTTGCTCATAAGTGGAAATATTCGATGCCCTAAGCTTTACAAAAGCCTCCAAGTCTTCTAGAGACTACAGGGGCCAGAAATACGGAAAAAATTATTTGTGCAACAGCAAAGGTCACGAGGAAACCATGATATCAATGGAATCATGCTGCTGCTGTGGCTCTTTGCTATCAAAAATCAAAAAGTCTGTAGTATTGTTCTGAAATCATCAGTAGTGCTCTTAAACTAACAACAGTAAAGACTCCCCGTGGCCTCTAAAATGGCACTGGGAATTCTGTACTGCATTTTAAACGCTTAAAAAAAATCATTAATTCTCTAAGTTCTATTCTATAAATATAAGCACCCCCCCTACCTTTGTAAGATAACTCCAGGCTTCTGTTTAACATGCCAGCGTGTTTGTTCTAAATTTAAGTTTTACAACCCAATTTGTAACAAAAAAAAAAGCACAAATACTGAAATCAAATTGTCATGTTGTATTTTTACAATAACTTTCTGATGACAAAAATATCACTAGCTGGAGACATTCTTGTCAGAAATTTCAGGAATTCAAAAAGCACTGTGATAGTTAATTTGAAGCTAATGTAGTAAAAGACTGTAATGCCTTTGTATCTGTTCAAAGAAGAAAACAGCGTAACAGCCAGCTAGTGATAAAGAGTTTTCTTGTCTGGCAGCGTCAGGCATAGAGCCCCACAGATAATTTGCTTTGACAACCACATAAAGACTTTCATTAGAGAAAAACTAGCAACTCAGTGTTAGATTAAGGTGACAATTCATGTTTTTTTAAAAAAAAAATAATAATAATAATGGGTTATGATACTTTTTTAGCCATGTCGATGGTAGGTCGCTCGATAGGCGTCCTCTTAGCCATCTCCAAGAGCAGTCTCTTTAATTTCCGAGGCATCGCCAGTTTTTGATTAGGTGATAAACTGAACTTGGCTGTGGCCCAGAGAATGGCAGCAACCCCATACACGCAAACCTGAGCAAAGACAGACGAGAACAAAAAGAAGGGGGGTGGGGGTTAATTTGAAATAAATTATTTAAAATTTCGCTTTAAAATTTAATGAAAGCAGTTCTGACAGACCAACCTTCTCTGTTACAATTCCATGCTCTTGATATTCAGGAGCAAGATAAAATTCATCTCTAGATCCTGCAAAGAACACTTACAGTTAGTTCCTAAAGTCAACATATACTCATACACGTTGGATAAGAGTGCATTTTCAGTGAGTATTTTGAGAGTATACAACTAGAGATGGCAAATGCCTCCCCAAAAAACATGAAAAACACAACAGCAGATGACTAAGAAGTACCTACCTATGTTTTTAGGTTTCAAAAAAAGCACTTCTCCCTTGCAGCCCACATGCACCGTGTCCAGGCATAAATAGGCTAACAGAAAAGAGAGAAATCAGCTGCACAGAAGAATTGTGAGCTAGAACCGTGTAACGTAATTTGCATAATATTTCTAGTCAGTTTTTTCTCTCCGCTTTGGAACTTTCTACCAGTCTATTGTAAGCGCTAGCTCTAAAATGAAGAGAAAACTGCCGTTGCAGGGATAGTTTCTTCCTGGTTTTGTGAATACAGTGGGTAAAATCACCTGGAAAGTCAATGTAGCTCTGCAGTGAGGTTAGGCAGGTGTAACACAGAGCCCACAGCTCATTAACGGTCAGCCTCCGTCCACAACGAGCAAGCAACTCTCTTAGAGAGATCCACTGGAAAGAAAACAAGAACAAACCAATCTTAAAAAGGGAATGTGTTACAGATTAAAGAGTTTCAGATGCTCCCTCAGAAGGCCTAATTAACTCTAACTGGAGCAATTCCAATCTATTTTTTAATGCTTCTATTGCTGCTGAGTACCTATGTGATTACTCTGTCACTTGACTCTAATTTTATGGTTTTGCAGGTGTGAGAAATGTGTGGGTGAGCTTTTCATCTGACTAAGCTGTTTCAAAGAGGATTAATTATTTGCAAAAATCTGAAATCAGGTACCAGTTTTACATTACTGCATCTCTCTCCACTTTTTTTTTAGAAGGTGCAAAGTACTCTGGACTTTTTTTATTCCCTAATAACCTTAGCAATCTCCTCCTTGGCCAGCTGCATGGTGAAAGCTCAACAATCTTAAATTATCATCATCATCCACTCAAGCATTTTTTACCAAAGCTTTTCAGCCATCTTAACATGCTGAGCAAAGACCCTCTACTGACATGGGTCATACAATGCAGTTAACGACTATGAAATGAACCCAGCTCGTCCCTTCTTATTCCTCTAAAACTGCCAACTCAAAGCTTTTTTGAGAAGATACAAAAAAGTTGAGCCCACTTCAGCCTTCACCTGAGACCTCTGTTGTTTCTCTTTTTTTAGATTTAACTGCAAGAAAATATGTGATGTGATCATAGAGCCATACATTTAAAGGCTGTCTGGCAATGGCTAACCTCATCCTGAGATTCTTCATTCAGGAACAGCATGCTTTTGGTCATGTAGTTATTAGGAATGTATAGACTGTGGTTTAGTGAAGTCTGGTCTTCAGAAGAGTCCTGTTCCATGTTCAGGGAAGTAGAGGACGAGGAGTCCTGTACTTCCTGCACGAAGTCCTGTACGAAGTCCTGGGCGCACTCCTCACACTGACTTTCGTGGCACTCTTGAATATTGGTGTGTTGAGTCTCGGCAGCATCCTCAGTTTCTCTGGACATTTCCCAGCAGTCCTCACTGTTACAGTGTGGGTACGTATCACAGGACTTTCCCCGGCTGAATCTCTGAAGTCTGTTACTCCACACAGACTTGCAGCTCAAGTGCTCGTCTGCTCCTATCTCAGTGAGGTCTGAAACCGGTATACTGATGTCTCCGTGACTTGGAGGGGAGAAGCAGGGGGGGTTGTTGGAGTCCGGGACAGAACAGGAGCGGTTAAGGGCCCCCCTCACTCTGATCAGCCTCTGCTGCGCTCTCCTCCTCACTGGGGAGCTGTTGTGAGAACGGCAATCCATCTCATCTGTCAAGATCGAGCTGTCTCTTTCACTGCCCTCCATGTCCTCAGCCCAGAGAGTGGAATCCCAGCCCCCACACAGCTGCAGATTGAGAACATTATCATTGGTTTCAGCTGTTTTGAAGGCAAAAAATAAACTTAATTACCTAGATGGTAAAACAAAAACCACAGTTTAGATAACTGAGCAAACTGAAATGGAAAGAACAAAAATCTTAATTCTGCCCTTTTTCAACTCCATAGTTTTTTCTTGATATTGTTATGCTTTACAATTTTATATTGTATTCTGGAGTTTTGTGCCTAAGGTGACCATATGAAGATATTCTCTCTTTCTGACATCACACAGATCTATGGACACAAATATGGCCAAAGAGTTTGGAGCATCTGAAGCTCCAAACTCTTTGGGGATTACTGATAGAAATTAGGTCCCTATGATTTGAAACTTTTGCCAAGCTTAATGTGAGCATCAGTGCAAATATACAGCACTGCCCAAAGATCTTAAGCCACTCTACATTTCTTTATGTTTTGCTTTCAAGCAGTCAGACTTTCTTGTATTTTTAAGTTTTCTTGAGCAATAGTTATTCAGGCTTTCTGAAGGTCTGTCCTGCAGTCTGTCCTCAAAGAAATTTCAGGTAATTGGACAAGAGGAGGAAAAAAAGAAAAGACAGAGCTAAAAAATTATCTATGGCAGCAGATGAACAATATCTAAAAGTCATGTCCTTCAGAAACTGGAGCAAATCCAGCTAAGATCTGAGACATACCCTCAGATGATCAAGAAACTGTCAAGAAATCATTCTAAGGAAGGGAAACGAGGAGAAAATGCTGAGGTATGCCAAATAATACAAGAACTGCATTGAAAATCTGTGGAAACAGGTTTTATGGAGACATTAATTTTTTTGGTTCAAATCATTGTCAATATGCACAGAGGAGGTCTGGAGAGAGGTACAACAGTGAATGTCATTTGTAAAACAGCAGTGTGGGATCATCGTGACAGAGAACAGAATAAAAGTCAGCCAACATCCAAAGAAGAGCTCTGACTGTCCTTCATGAAGCCTGGAGAAATATTCCTGAAGATTACTTAAAGAAATTCCAAGAAAGCTGCCTAAGAGTTCAAGCTGTGTTGAAGAATAAAGGTAATCGTACCAAATATTGACTTTCAAGCTCATTATGATTGTACAAACTCTGGTAATCTAATAGGGGTATATACAGTAGAAGTTGTTTTTGAAATTCTAACAACAATGTAAATAAAATCTTGTAAAGCAAGTTGTATAGTAATATTCTACTCTTTGCAAACACAGTTAAATACTGTATATGATTCCTTTAAGGAATGTGTTAATATGTTGCTTAAATCTGCCAGTAACTTTTCTGACATGATGTTGCATCACTAGCTCATTTAGCACACAGTCAGAAAATGAAATAAGACATATATTTCAATTATGAAACGACTCTGAATAGGTACCAATAACATTCTGGAAAAGCTGTTTGCTGGCAGTACAGGTTTTTAAAAATATTTCTTCCTCCAGCTGCTTGCTACATTTTTAAAAACTTGCTCCATACCTGCTGCCTGGACAGACCATTTGTTTTAACAGAACTGTCACGCTGATCTTTGGTGTTGTCATCCGAGCTCAGTCTTTTAAGAAGACATTTAGGTTTGGAATGCTGCCATCTCGCCTCCCAGGAGCTCTCCTGCCCATCTGTGGATGCCAAAAGAAAGAAAATAACAGCAGGAGAAATCACGGAAGAGACTAAGGGGCGATCTGTTTGAATACACGTGAAGAACATGATAACCTTGAAAGTTTGAAACCGATTCAATGGAGAGCACGCGTCGTCCAACTGAGGAGAGTTTGCGGCACACAGCTGCAGAGGAGGTGCGGGACAGCCGTGCTTCAGCCAGAGACAGGATGTCCTGTGGGAGTGTTACACTTGCAGATTTGCAACACATGAACAGACAACACATACATAGTACCGTGTGTATGTGCTACTTTTTCAAGTAGTTGTGAATAAATGTATTTCTCCTACATATTTTTTTTCATACATCACATACATACACAGTGTTTCACTGCATGGATATTCACTGGATTATTGGCATCTATGTTAGAGCTGTAGAGCATTTTTGGAATTTTTATCTGTTTATGCAGTTTTGTATAGTGTGTTTAATCTCATTTTTTTCTTTTTAAAATCTCTTGTTTATCTCTAGATTTGGACTTTTGCCTGGGTGAACCATCCAAAGGCTTTTGTTTTGGCAACCCCTTCCAATTAGCTGTTTCTGGAGGGAGGACTGCTCAGAATTATTGACTAGTTGCTGGGTTTTTTTGCGATTTTGTTACCATGAGCTCTTCATGAGCCTTATTCTGTATGCTTATACACAGACTTCTTAGAGCAGCGGTCCCCAACCTTTTTTGCGCCACGGACCAGTTTATGCCCGACAATATTTTCATGGACGGGCCTTTAAGGTGTCGCGGATAAATACAACAAAATAAAACTAGTACCGGTACCGAAAAAAAGAAAATTTATTCATAACACACGTGAAAAGACCCAGGAAAACCGAGTAAACGATAAAAATGATAACAAAATAACGCTAAAAACCAATAAAAACCCTGAAAACTATACATTTCACACCTGAGCGTCAACTCTCGCGGCCCGGTACCAAACGACTCGCGGACCGGTACCGGTCCAAGTCCCGGGGGTTGGGGACCGCTGTCTTAGAGGGTTCTCATAAAGTTATAGTACATATTACAATCATATAACACCTTTTTCCACTTAGAATGAGCAATTTTACTTTTGTTTTTCTTTTTCATTGCGGTTTATCTTGTAAGAGGCTGACAGTGAAATGTAAAACTTGCAGTGACACATTATTTCCACTTGATGCTGCTCAAGAGCACTGACTGACTGGAGTAATATGGACTGTCAGTTTGTCTAATAGTTGAAAATCAGACATGATTTAATACTACAGCAATTACACAAAGTATCCATATATTTGTTCTGACTGTAAAGCAATAGTGATTCCGTGTTCTGCTGGGATGTACGGTTTGGCTTGATATATGTGAGGAAAGCATCGGTACAGGCTACACATTGCTATTGGCCAATCATTATCCATCGTATTAGATCATGACGAGATATTGCTTTTCAGTTCTTTTCCTATTTGTTCAACACGACACATTTCATATTTAACCATATCTTTCTGTCTCACTACATGTCAAAAAGGCAAATCACCCAATTTTCCCATTTGTGTGAAAGTTATAATGATTTTAGTGTGATCCCAGGACAAAACGCCTTCTGAAGCGAGACCACTAATTATTCCACAGCTGTCTCATGCAGTTTAAACCACGCAGCTTTCTATAAATCATTCTAACAGTAATAAAGAGTCAGCAGGGTGTTTTTGTACCTGCAGGAGCGGCCGGTCCTCAGGCTTCTCCTCCTGCATCTGCTCCAGCAGCCTCTGGATTTCTTCTCCCAGATCTGCCTCCAGCTCTGGCTCGATGACAAAGTTCAGTGCGGCAGAAAGCGTAGAGCCCAGAGAATAAACATGGCCCTGTAGCCGGGGGCAGACAGGGAGACAACACTGTCATTATCACGAAGCAGCTGCAGCTGTGAATTTACAGTACACACAGAGATCTGAATCCATGAATGAGTTTAGAAAAGCTCAAAATAACACTCTATCCCGTAACGACTTTATAGGCCATAATTGCTATGCATCGCTGCCGTGTAGGCATATTTATGACGGAGCCTTTGTGTTGCTTTGCTTCGCTGACGGTGGATATTATGGTCAGCCCTGAGACAGCAGTGGATATGAACCAGGTGCTCCGGAGTTCATGACCCACGCATAACTATCGCTCCCAACAGTTGAAGTGGGCTCGACCCATACTTATGTGGTAAACAAATGTGCAAGAAGAAGAAGTTCTTTAGAAAAACTGCAAAAAATTTGCATGCACAGTTTACTTTGAAATCCAGTTACATAAGTCTGCTGCAAATGTATTCATGCGGTGGTGAGAAAAGTCGCGCCGCTCAGTGGCAGAGTGCGACTTTCACATATGAATTCTGCATTTCTACGGAGGAAGCAGAACGCTTTAGAATTCAGTCGCATTAAAGGCATTTGTCTGTTTCCTGACAATAACGTTTTTTTTCAGTGCTGTATCCATAATACAGCAGACATAGATGTACAGAGAAGTCTATAAAGATGAATAGAGTGGTTACACAGTTGCACTCAGCCACAGCGAAAAAGGATAAATAATGGAGATGAACATTTATTAAGCCCAGTGAGAGAAATGCAGACTTCCTTTTAAAAGAATGGCAGCAGGAACAAAGATAAATGTGCAGAGGAGAGTACTCAGACATGTTTACACCTGGAGCTGCAAGCACCTTACAATGAAAAGTATGCAAATTTGTAGATAAAGAGGCTCGTGCTTAAATGCATTAGTCAGAAGAACAACTCGATCCAGTCTGTTTTAAGATTTAGACTGCTGAATGTTAAAGGGAAATTTGGGTTGAATTAAACTGTAAGCTTATTTTCATAGCTGTGGACACAGTTTGTGTTAGTCATGATGATACTGTGTACCAGCCAAGTGAATCACTGAGGTCTGGGATTATAGTCAGTTTAAAGAGGTCAGACCGTGTATCAGGCATGAGCTGTGAGGCTGATTTCTGCACTTCAGACTGACTCAAAGCAAAGAAGCATTTGCTAATCCACCCATCCAAAATGAATATAATGTAATCCGATACAACTCTTCTGTTATGGTGTACATAATATACTGCAATGTTCTTGCTGACACAGATGTAGGTGTTAATGTTTTAGCAATGAGGTCACACTTAGTGGTGGTGTAGACCAGCGGTCTCCAACCTTTTTTGCGCCACGGACCGGTTTATGCCCGACAATATTTT